TATAAAGTTTAAAAAGTCTTTGGTTTATAAACAGTTTTGCTAAAGTGATTGAAGTGATTCGTGTAGCTTAAAATGGTAAGCTATTCCACATATTTAAGTCATCTCATATTTTTTTAAATTTTTGTACTGAGGGTAATTAATAAAGACATTTAAGCAGGAATTCTAAATGTTATTTAGACAGTTGCTGATATTTAATTAGTTGATAAATAGCGATTCGCGTTTGTTTTTGGCTTTTAAAAACGTTTCTATACTGTGTTATTGCTGTTTCACATATTAAATATAATTAACAAATGGAGGACGAAGAACAAAAAAAAAGTAAACTTATTTTTGACCTTACTAAATGCATATTTTGCCAGGAGGATGATCGTAAAGAAAAAGTATTTCTGTTTATTTGATTTAGATATTGTTTCATATATTTACGTAAAAATATAAATCTACGTATTTTAATATCTCTTATCCTTTAAATATACGATTTGGTGCATTTTGGATATGTTCCTTAAGTAGTTTTTAAAGGTGTCTCCTATCAATTACTAAATTTATTTTCAGATTGTAAAAACCGGTTTGCGTGACGTTTTGGAAAAACTAATGGTATGTTTAAGGCAAAGGTACTCCTATCATGACCCAGAGGTAAGAGATTGTTACCAGAAAGTTAAGAGAAATACCAAGAGAGAAACTTGGTGAAAAAGATGTTTATCAAACAGAATGTTACAAAAAGTTCACCCACCAAAAAAATTTGCAACGTTTGCTTGAACAACACAGTATATTTATTGCAAGCAATCTTGAAACTAAAACCATAATAGACATAGATGAATCAGAAGATTCAAGTCAAATGTCAAAAATGTAAAGAAAAGTTGCTCCGTTCAAAATATCAAGTCTACAACAAAGAACTTTGTATTATTTGCCAATGTGAAGGCGGTGAAGTTCGAAAAGTTGAGTTTACAGAGACTGGAAAAAAAAAATTAAAAGTTTCGAAATTGTTTAATGATTAAGAATTCTTTCTTAGAATGAACACCATCCCAAATTCTGATGACGCCGTTGCAAATGATGTTATATACCACTTAAAGTGTTGATTAACAGTGCAGATATGTGTTAAATTGACAACATCTCAAAAAAAAATTCAAGAATTGGATGATATTGGACGGGTTATCGCAGATGTTGAAATCATTGGTTTAGTCAATTTTAACTTAAAAAAAGATGGTTTTGCTATAGATATGAACAACATCAATAAAACTCACAATAACTTAATTAGGAATAAGGAGCAGACAGAAGGTGAATTATAAACGTTGCTAAAGAAACTTCTACGATAACGTACCAGGAAAAATTTTTTCAAGACCTCCGTGCCGTAGAAAGTCCGAACAGCTTTGCTCTATAGAGCATATTTACTATAGTAAATTTTCGAGGCAGCAAAAATAATTCGGAAAGAAATCCTGCACCAAAGAAAATGGAAGTTTGACGGAAATTTCACTGGTTTTGATACTCCGACGTCCTTATTTTCTTTGCTAAGTTGGGTTACACTTAAACCAAAACAAAATGTTGAAAAAAATCCATCGAAAGCCGTGTTGATAACATTTCTCAAATTATTATAATGGCAGCAAAAAGCAATAAGCAAATCTTACATTGCTCAAAAACGGAAACTGATTTCAGAGATGTTACTAAAACACCTTTTTCAGTTGGCCTCGGATTACATGTGCATAAAGAAACCCTTAATAAGAAGCTAGTAAAGTGCTTGGCATATTTTGGACTTTATACTTCCTATGATAGCGTTATAAATATCAAAAATGGTTTATGAAACGCTGTTATTGAAAATATATCAACAAATCAATGCACATTTGTACCTTCTAATATTCAAATAGGAATGTCATTGCACTTTGCAATTGATAATATTGACTTGAAAAACGACACTGCTGACGGAAATCTGAATTTCAACTTCGTTGGTTTCTTTTCTCTTAATTTCATGACGCTGCGCAACTTCCGCCAACAACTAATGTCCTTAAGTACCATATATTTTGTAGTAACTTTGTATGTTTTGTGCTTAAACGCTCTAAAATGCCCGTACAGTATCTACCATCACCTGCGGAGTATGATTGGGAACTAAACAATGGATCTTTTGACCCCATAATGACTGATAAGCTACCAGCACCAATAGCACTTATCGAGCGTCTGTCGTCTATCGTTGTAAAGGAGACTGTAGTAATAAAAGGTGCAAATAATTTAAAAAATAAACTTTTCTGTACTGATATGTGCAAGTGTAAAGGATGTAAAAATAATAATGTAGACGACCAAATGTAGACAAGCAAAAGGAAAATTATGACTATGAATGTAGAGTTTTATAAGAAGCAATTTAATTTACTCGTATTATTAAATACCAACTTGTAAGCACGTTAATTTTAACATGATAAGTGACACCTGTCACTTTTTAAATCCTTTTCATACAAGGATCTCATATCAACAAAAAGTTTGCTTGTAACACGTATGTGCCCACGAAGAGTGCCCTTGTAACACGTATGTGCCCACGAAGAGTATGTAAAACTCAGACTCAGACAGAAAACTCAGAAGAGTATGTAAAACTCAAAAGATATTCCTGGAAACTTTCTTACAATTGTGCAAGAAATAGCTCGCCATAACGCTGAACTTAATGCACATATACAAACACCATTACGCAAAGATGTCAGCTGCCTTGGCCCCAAGAGTCAATATGGGTTAATTGATATAATTGGAAAGAAATATATTTAAGAGCGGCTAATTATTGAAATCAAAGCTGCAAATTACCATTTTGATTTCAGCAGACGATGTAACAACTTCAAACCAACAAATTCTATCAGTATGTATGAGATACGTAAATGGAGAAAAAGAAATTAGAGAAGTATTTCTTGATTTTTTGAATCTTGACAGGATAACAAGCAAACATTTTAGGGAAAATTTTATAGCGAAAGTGGAATTGATCTTAGTTCTTGTAGAAGCCAGTGTTACGATGGTGCACTAAACATGCAATTTAAAAAAAAAAGTTTTGCCCGCTATATTTTAAAAGGATCACCAAAAGCAATTGTAACATATTGTAGCTCACATAATTCATTGGTAACATTTTGGAGGTATACAGAAATATATCCATTTATTTCAATACCTCTCCGAAAAGAGAGCGCTTGCTGGAGCATGTTGCCGAGATCCGTTGTAAATCAACTAAAAGAAAAACGATTTTGATAGGTATGTGCAAAACAAGATGGTCAAAAAGAGATGCCGCATTTGAACACTTTTATTTAGCTATAACATTTATGCCAGAGGCATTAGAGATTATTTTAGGAATACACTCTAATATAGAACAGTTCAATGTAGAGTTTAATTGGGGCGCACAAGGAAAAAGAGAGGCCAACTTACGTCTTAATGCACTCGCTAAGTTCGAATTCATAACTGGTATTATAACTTTGTACCGCTTTGTACTCTTTTATAATAGGGAGGTTACAGAACTGGGTATACAATAGGGTACACAACTGATATTGTGTATGCATACAGTAACATTCAAGAAACAATCGACAATTTGAACAATCTACGGAAAAATATTGAAAAAGAAACATACGCAATTTAACAACAAGCTACTCGCATGACAAGTAAATTATTTGTAGAACTAATGACTCCCAGAATCACGATAAGACAGGCCTACAGAAATAACGTACCTGCAGAGAGTCCCCATGAATATTATAAACGGGCCTTGATTATACCTTTTCTCGACACCATCATTTTAGAAATCAAAATACGATTCCAAACGACAAATTGCACTGCTGCTAAGGTTTTATGGTTGGTTCCCTCGATAATTTGTAGTGAGGAGATAAATGCATTCTAGGAGTTAGTTGAAATGTATAAAAGTGATCTTCCAAACTCAGAGGCGTCATTAAGAATTCATGTTTTGGAAAAGAAAATGGTCTGTTAATAAACCTGAAGATAAGCTTAATAGTCTAGCTAAAGCCATTAAAATCTGCGATGAAAATCAATATCCTAATCTCTTTGAGCTTCTAAAGATTTGATGTACACTACTCGTAACGTCCGGAGAAATTGAACGCCGCTTTTCAGCAATTCAAAGATTAAGAACAGGGTTGAGAGCCAGTATGACTGCAGATAGACTTGGTTCATTAGCCATCATGAATATCCACTACAATAAAATTGTTGATTATAAACAAGGCTCAAAATTATTTTTTACTTTACATCCTAGAAAATTGTATGAAAAAAATTTTAGCTTTTGAATAAAAATTTAAACCATTTATCAAAGTATTATTAATTTTTGTATCGATACCCATTTTCTAACAAGGAGCTTGCTTACACGCCTATGCAGTATACACAAATATAGGTACGTTTCATCAAAGTTTTATTACGTAAATTTAGTATGATATTTATTTGGTATTTTAAAACTGCCTTTTCTTCAAAAATGTCCCCCCTAAAAAATTTCACGGTACGGCCCTGGTTTAACATAGAAATTTTTGGTTAACTGCTTTTCCGCATGCTTTTAACTTTTTAGAGAATACATTTTGTATTTCATAAGTGTTTTAATTTACATAAGGATGTTTTATTAACGTCAAAACTTTAATTAAAAAACCGATCAAAATACACCATTTGATTTGACAAAATGTTATGTACAAGACCTAAAAAAACATATATAAGTATAAAACTCTCTTGTTTTGGAATTATACGAAAAAATAAATAATTAAAAAAACGTCCTATTTAATATGCTGTCTAATTTAGCAAAAATTTACTATATAAATAGTTTTTTTGAATTTTATTGTTAATTTATATAGTTATATAAACTATAATTATGATATGTTTAAAGAAATATAATTATGGTTTAAAGAATTATAGCATAAACAAAATTTGTATAATTGTATAATAATATGATATATTCAAATCTTCATTATATTTTAAGGCCCCATAATAATATTATTTAGTTAAAAATTTATACGCAACTTGTTTACAACAATCCAAATTTATCTACACCTGTTTATTAATCATTTACTCACCCATCCAATGCTTTGTACCAAAGCTAAAAACTTGATCAAAATTTCCCTCCAAAGATTTTACTCGTTTCCAATCAATACCGCTCAAAATGTTTATTATAAACTCGTCGTTAGTTACAGCAACCCATGATTTATATGTCAAATGAAACTTCATATATAATTTTTTATTTCTGTGTAAAGCGTATAACTCTCGACTTGAGTTGTGATGACCCAGAACTGAACCTATGCGAGTATCTATATCTAACGTACAACACACATAAAGTAATATATATACATTTATATATATATATATATATATATATATATATATATATATATATATATATATATATATATATATATATATATATATATATATATATATATATATATGTATGTATATATATAAATGTATACTATTTGTTAATTATAAATTTTTTTTAATTATTTTTTTAATAATTAAACTCAAAAACGTTTTGATTCTATATACAATTATTTTCAAACGAAAAATTGCTAAAGCTTCAGTCGCACTTTTTCTATATGCTCTTTGCTTTGTTATTTTTTTTGTAGTTACCTATACAAATATTTTCACAACTGTATTCAAATTGATGAATTCCTGGGTATTACATAGAGGTAAAATTTTGGGAAGCTATTTAGAGATTTTAACATAATAGGGTTTTATTTTAACATAATAGAAGAAATAGTAAACAAGAAAAAACGATTTCGATGCCAAATTTGCAAAACTCACGCCTAACACTAAGAGTTTATTTTTAAAAGTTATTTTGTGTCAAGTGGAAAGGTTTAGATTTGGTGGACCTAGACTAGGAGGCAATTTTCAGGTTATATGATCTGTGGCCACTAATCAAAAAATATTTTTAATCTTATGATTGTTTTAATTTTTTTAGAATTAATCTCCAATTTTTTTTTTTTTTGGAACTATTTTATTAAAATTTCTTATCACTTTTAAACAGCCTCCTATAATAAATTAAAAAAACTTTTTTATGTTACAAAACTGATTTAATAATAGTAAAGAGTCATTTAATGTAGTCCAGCTTAATGTAGTCCAGCGTTCCTTAAATAACTGCATTAATGTTATTTATTACAGTTCTCATGATTAAAGTGCAAAAAGATTAATTTTGAAACTAAAATTTATAAAAAATCTATTTAAGAAACAAGAAAACAACGGGACAAGGCAGGCTACTCAACTTGCTTATTCTAGTTAACTACTGCAGGTTTGCTATTTTGTTTATTGAAAATTATAGCTATTTTTTTAACTTTTAGAAATAGATTTTATGTGATTCTGCATTTTAAAAGGTATACAGTTAGATACAAAATTCCTTTCATAAATTTGTCTTATCTTTTAATGCTGCTTTTATCGGAATAAAATTGTTTTCTATTGAAGCAAATACACGAGCCATTAGTACTTTTTTTTCACCATTTAACTTTATTCCTTTTAACTTCAAATAGTTCTCTTCTTCATTATCAAGCCCTAATAAATAATTTTTTTGCAGATAAATAAGAAATAAATTCTTTGCAATCAAATTAGCAGTATATAAATATAGTATAAATAACTTTTTTTTTGCTAAAAATTAAAGTTCTTTAAATAGCAGCAGGATCTATTTTTGGGATATTTTATTCCTTATGGTTTCAAAATTTTATCAAGAACTCCAAGCTGTTTAATAATTTTTAGAAAGGCCGGGGGTAATCCAATTCTTCCTCGTAGATGTGTCGAACAGCTCTTTTTTAGTAAAAAAAAAAATCAAAAACTTTTACTCTACGACGCTGGGTTCGTTAAGAACTTAGTTATTAATTAATGGTTGGAGATTTTTAGCCCCTCTTCCTTCCCACTTCGAAAGCCATTGTTTTTGAAGTGGGAAAGGAAGTTCAATTTGCCAACTAATTAAGTTTGTAGGAGGGTGTGGGGCTAGACACTCCTTACGCCCTCCTCTGACGGCCTTGATTAAAAGCAAGGTCTAATGCATTGAAAATATTTTATTTGGAAGAAAAATTACCAGATAATAAAAAGTAGTTTCGAGACAAAATGATGCAAAAAAGGTTTTTTGAAATAAGTAATATTGCTGGGTTGGATAATGTTATGCATTGTACCCGGAATCTTATTCTTATATAATGATCTAATGCTTATATAAAATCTAATGCTTATATAAAATCTAATGCTAATATCAAATGAAAATTAATAAAAAAGGTCTGACAATGTTTCTGGATTCATTTATCTAGAGACATATTGCTATGGATTCATATAGATGATCATTAAAAATGAAACGATATTATGTCTTCCAATAAAACTAGTAGATAACACGACGTTGTAGTTTTGAAGCTTTGTACATTGAATTTTTATTATATAAACATGTTGTTTTTGTAGAATAATAAATCTCTAATATATAAAACAAAAAATTGTGGATAGTTTTCAATTGAGTTTTTGCTTTAAATTCTTCCTAAACCATAATTTCATCATACTTTCAGTGGTGTAGCTACCTAGGGGCTACACGGGGCTGTGCCCCGGGACCCTCAAGCTCGGGGAGCCCTCGAATCCCTACCAGAAATCTGTATAAGAAAATTGCATCAATAGCTATAAAATGGCATATATATAAAAAAAAATTATTTAATATAAAATAAAAAATTATTTAAGAAATAAGATGAGCCAATTTTGACCCTGACATTAATTGCTAATAGCAACTGAAAACAAAACCGCATCAATCCTGGATTTAAACGAAGTCATTGATACTTTTGCAAAAACTAAAGCTAGGAAAAAATTGTAAATATAATTGTTATTTATCACAAAAAAGAGCTTAAGTAGCTTAGCATTTTTAAAGCATTTGTATATTCCATACTTTTATTTGATAAAACCTAATCAGTTTACATACCAGTAGGGCCCCATTTTTTAGTTTGCCCCAGGGCCCTTAGTTACCTAGCTACGCTACTGCATAATTTGATTTTTTTATAAGAACATCGACTTATAAATTTGAGTAACGTATGTTCAATATAGAGAATTATAATGTGATTTATTCTAAATATTTAGAAAATTAGTAAAAAAACTCTATGGAAATTGAACTTCAATAAACATTGAAGACATTAGCCATAATCACGACAAATATTTGTGTCGTTTTGACACAAAAAATTGCCGTGATTAAGGCTAATGTTTTCAATGTTTCACCCAGCAATCTGAATATTCAAATGAGATCAAGATTTAAATTAATATAAGAGGAATGTAACAAGATTTCCTTCCTTTGGTCATCACAGAAATCTCAAACAGACAAAGAACCACGTTTAAAAGCTGAGAATCTGGCAAAACGTTACCCAGAAGACTTATGTAATAACAAATTTTCTGATGAAGTATTGCATTTTTTTCCGTAAGAAGAAATTCTTAGTATTCTAGGCAGTAAAAAGCCTGTTGAACATCTGAATAAAGTTTATGCAAAGGGGTAGCATCCAATATTTCTACTAGCGTGTGTTTCGCTTAGAATCTTCCAAATATTACCCGTTTCAACATCTGAAGGTAAAAGATCTTTCAACAAATTACCTATCATTAAAGATTATCTTCATTCCACATTGTACCAGGAGCAATTATACTACTCGATGATCCTTTTAGCCACTCGATGATCAGATTTAGCCAATAAGGTTTCTTATCAAGTAGTTATTTTTGCTTTTGTAATATTAAACCATTTTAATCGTTATTCATAACTTAGATGTAAGAGGCTTCTGGTTCGATTAACTCTTCTTTGAACTTTTTCAAGAGCAACTATATCGTATTTTTTTGATGGATTCCAGGTTGCTGCTGCATATTCGAGAAGCGGTCGAGCAAAGGCTTTATACAATATTTCAGCAATTGAGGTGATGTAGAATTCAAATGTGTGTTTAATTAAATCTAGCTGTTAGCTCTGTTGGCACAGTAGTTTATATGTTGGGTGTATTTTCCATCAGTAGATGTCATAACGCCTAGATCTTTTTCTGAATCGGAGCTTTCAATTCAAATTCGTATTTTTTATCAAAGTCAAAGATAGTATAATTTATTTTTTGATTACCAAAATGCATTATTTTACATTAACTTATATTAAGTTTCATCTCCCATTCCTGACACTATTTAGCTATTTTATCTATATCATTTAGTAATTCGTTTCTAAGTATTTCAATTTCGTCCAACTCTGCAAGAGTTTTACTATCGTCGGTGTATTTTTTTAATTACGTGAAAAAGTTTACAAGGAAGGTTGTTTATGAATAAAAGTGGTCCAAGTACCAATCCTTGTATTACACCACTACTGATTGGACGCCAGTCAGACTGGTTTTCACCAACTACAACTCGTTATTGTCTGTTACTTAAGAAAGATTTAATCAAGCAACAAATTTATTAAAACCATACACTGCAAAAAATCAGATTCTTACCTAGAATATTTTTTACTTGTTTTAAGAGAAATATATATATATATATATATATATATATATATATATATATATATATATATATATATGTATATATATATATATATATATATATATATATATATATATATATATATATATATATATATATATATATATATATATATATATATATATATATATATATATATATATATATATATATGTATATATATATATATATATATATATATATATATATATGTATATATATATATATATATATATATATATATATATATATATATATATATATATATATATATATATATATATATATATATATATATATATCTTATACTGCTGAGTTAGTTGAGCATGATTATGTCATGCTCACCAAATGTCAAACAGCCTACTGCCGGGGGCTTCAGTACATACATCGACTGACAAAAAGCCTGACTCGCAGTGGAGTGCTGCTACGTCGACTGAGGGTTTGGTATGGGTCAGCAACCTTTTCATTCATTTTTCCCTTTTCCCTCATCGTTTTCTAAAAACGCTCACTTAATTTAGGCTAGCAAAAAAAGTGAGCAATTGCGCATATAAATATGCTATAGTAGATCAGGGTTAGGGTTAGGGTCAGGGTTAGTAATTTTTCATACTGATCTTTTTGCGTTGTGAACATCGTGGTGAACAGACGCGTAAAATAATTTAAAAAATTTTTAATTACAGTAAAATAATTTAAAAAATTTTTTTATCTTGTCTAATAAAATTTGAAATGTCTAAATCAGAAGAATTTATATGATGAGAGAACTTCTTAAGATTCAAAAAGAAACTTTTTTCCGTGAATCACTATTTAGCATAAACGAAAAGTTTGAAAACTTTCAATC